GGAGGTTACGGCTGGTGATGGTTTGACGTTTGGGGGGGAGGCGTTATAGGACGGGGAGATGGAGAACGTAATGAGGTTGTGGTCAGAGAGAGGGAAAGGGGTGTTTGTGAGTTTGTGGAGGGTGCAGAGATGGGAGAAAACGAGGTCCAGGGTATTCCCATTGGTGTGGGTGGAGGACTGTGTGCACTGTGTGAGTGCAAAAGAAGAGGTTAAGTGGAGGAGTTGGGATGTGGTTGGGTTGTTGACACTGATAGGGATAATGAAGTCTCCAAGTATGATGGTGAGTAGCTCAGAGGAGAGGAAGAAGGGCAGCCAGGCGGAAAAGTCGTCAAGGAAGTGGGATACGGGTCCAGGAGGCCGATAGATTATTGCAATCCTCATAGATATTTTGTGTCCCCATATTGCAGGATATCAACACAGCCTTTTTGCTGATCATATCATGATGTTCATCACCAACCCTAGTATCACTCAACCCCAAGCTCACAGCTCTTCTGACCCAGTTTGACAATCTCTCCAGCCTTTATATTAACCATTCTAAATCAAACATTTTGGATATCTTTTTGCCATCACAAGATCTTTTTAAAACACAGTATAATTGCAAAAAAAAATGTTTGTTTTGGATAGTCTTTTTTGTTATCATACAGTATTCCAAGTGGTGATTTATGTATACCCCGCACTTATAGATATTATTTTATTGGTCATGGAACTTGTTGATGATCTATATTTTAAACTTGCTAACTGATTGTTTGCTTGATGTGTGGAGATGAGGGGGCTTTCCTTTATCAAGGAGTTGTGGTCAGTAGGGATTGGACTCTTTAAACTTTTTGTCTGTTACTGTTGACTGTCACTGCTGCCTAAGGAAGGGTTTTTGTGGTGGATAACTACACCTGTCCATATTTTGTACTTTAATGGTGTGCTGTGGATAACTACACCATGTCCATATTTTGTACTTTAATGGTGTGCTGGCCAATTGGAAGATTTCCTTTTCTAGTGACAACTGCAAAAATTAGGTTTTTTTTTTCTCACTTTCAGTTGACAGGGGTCACTAAAACAAATAGAGAGGGTGATTCTCCTAAGTGTGGACACAAACAGTGATGAAATCATGAAAGGGGGGATGGTGTTCTAACCCTTCACCACTCTATTCAAAACCGAATAAGAGTTTTCCTTTTAAATATTTATAACCTGTTAAAAGTTTCTACTTTTCATTTTCACACCATACACTGTCAGACTGCCATACAATTATGTTGAAATTATGTGAATCATGTGCCTCTGAACAAGAGCAGGTGATTGCCTTTAAATGTGATTAGTTATATAACCTTGAGTAACCTTGCGAATGCTTCACTCATACAGTATGTACAGGGCATCTATAGAGGCATTAGTAGATTATTATTAGTTATATATATATTATTAAAGCAATGTTTATGCAGGAACACATTTGTGTGGTGTACGATTTCAATCATAATTTCAGCTTTTATTGTTTGGCAAATGGAGAATGCCATTTTCTTCCATTTAAAATATAATTTTAAAGCTTATATCTCCAAGACTAACAAAGCCCATCCAACTATCATCACGTTTTTTAGTGTAACTTATTGCATTCATTAAAGCAGGCTTAGATTGTCCTAATTACATGTTATCAACAATTATGATATGTATCACATGCCACAGGCTGACTACAACATTCTAGCATTTTGGAATAATGCCAACAGAGGTGTCAAGTTCCATACTTCCTTGTCACCAGCTGAAGCTCTCGATTTGCAGAACAAGATGCAGCTGTGCCTGCCGAATAATCAAGTTCTCCCATGTATTTTTCTCTCTGCACAGAAATGCGTTTCTGAAGGGATCAGGAAAGCATCATTTGCAATATATTTTTATGCCTATGAATAAGCCTTATTTGCATATGTCGCAACCCCACTTTAATACATGGTTATGATATAATCAAAACAATTGCCTTCTCTGCAATCGTCATTACTTTGTTTTTCTTTCATGAAGTTTATTCCCAACAATTTGTTTTTCATTAAATCAATTTATCTGAGCTAAGATGGGAACAATGCCTGCTACGCAAAAACACTATTTGTTTATTTAATCCTATATCAATGTAATTATGACAAAATCATATGAAAATTATTTTAAAGTGACACCCGTAGGTTTGATCAAAACTCTTTTGGGGGTACATGTTCAATGAAAACATATTGCTGTTACCAGGGGCAGACTGACAACCCATGGGGCCCCCGGGCAATAGGGGATCATGGGGCCCCTGTGTCCTTGCCCAAACTCAAAAAAGTCTATGAAAAAGGTACCAAGGGCATCTCATGGGGCCCCCTACTGACCCGGGGCCCTCGGGCAGTGCCCGAGTTTCCAAATGGTCAGTCTGCCCCTGGCTGTTACTCATAGCAACTGACCTGTTTTTGCTGGTGCACTTGAGAAATCAAAGGTTAGGCACATTAAAACAGAACACTTCCAAGTACTATGTAAACCCCAAAATGTTTTTCAATATGTTTTGGATCATATCTCACTCAATACATCTTTTTGAAGCATATCTTTTTTTTTTCTTGGCAAAGGTTCTCATGTACAGATCCAGTCAGTAAGAACACTACCGGTTGCAGGTGGACAATGCTAAGCCACTGCCTCATAATTAGTCCATCAGATAGGCAGCTCATCAACCAACTGGAAAAGCTCACAACAGAAGGTTTTTATACACTATACCCTGTTCCAAATTATTATGCAAATTCTATTTAAGTGTCACAAAGATTAAATATTTTGTTTTTCAGTTTAACTCATGGATGGCATTGTGTCTCAGGGCTCTTTTGATCACTGAAAACAATCTCGGACACCTGTGATAATTAGATTGGCAGGTGAGCCCAATTTAAGGAAAAACTACTAAAGGAGGGTGTTCCACATTATTAAGCAGAGAGCACCATTTTCAAGCAATATGGGGAAGAAAAAGGATCTCTCTGCTGCAGAAAAGAGTGAAATTCAATGCCTTGGACGAGGTATGAAAACATTAGATATTTCATGAAAACGTAAGTGTGATCATCGCACTATTAAGAGATTTGTGGCTGATTCAGAGCACAGACGGGTTCGTGCAGATAAAGGAAGATTGAGGAAATTTTCTGCCAGATCCATGCATCGGATCAAGAGAGCAGCTGCTAAAATACCATTGCATAGCAGCAAACAGATATTTGAAGCTGCTGGTACCTCTAGAGTCCCACGGACATCAAGGTGTAGAGTCCTTCAGAGTGTTGCAACTGTGCATAAACCTTCTATTCAGCCACCACTAACCAATGCTCACAAGCAGAAACGGCTGCATTGGGCAGAAAAATACATGAAGACTAATTTTTAAACAGCCCTGTTCACTGATGAGTGCCGTGCAACCCTGGATGGTCCAGATGGATAGAGTAGTGGATGGTTGGTGGACGGCAACCCTGTTCCAACAAGGCTGCGACGTCAGCAAGGCAGTGGCGGAGTCATGTTTTGGGCCGGAATCATGGTTGGCCCCTTTAGGGTCCCCGAAGGTGTAAAGATGAGCTCTGCAAAGTATGTGGAGTTTATAACTGACCACTTTCTTCCCTGGTACAGAAAGAAGAACTATGCTTTCCGTAATAAAATCATCTTCATGCATGACAATGCATCATCTCATGCTGCAAAGAATACCTCTGCATCAATGGCTGCTATGGGAATAAAAGGAGAGAAAGTCATGGTGTGGCCTCCATCCTCCCCTGTCCTCAATCCTATTGAGAACCTTTGGAGCATCCTCAAGCAAAAGATCTATGAGGGTGGGAGGCAGTTTACATCCAAACAGCAGCTCTGGGAGGCTATTCTGACATCTTGCAAACAAATTCAAGCAGAAACTGTCCAAAATCTCACAAGTTCAATGGATGCAAGACTTGTGAAACTGCTATCAAATAAGGGGTCCTATGTTAAAATGTAACGTGACCTGTTAGAATGTTTAAAAAGTTAAAATGTTGTTAAAAGTTTGATTGAAATAGCTTTTGATTTCAGTAAATATGCTGCAAACACAACAAATGACAATTTTCAGTTCTTTACAACCTATAAAGTGTTTTCAAACTTACTGTGCGTAATAATTTGGAACAGTGCATTGTACGTTTTTTATGTTTAAAAAAAATACTGTTATCATTAGGAGGTTTGTTCAATAAAATTTGAATTGTACTCTTAATAGTTGATAACATGAGAATTATGCTGACTGTTATTTACATCAATTATTTAGGTAAATGAGAAAAATATAATTTGCATAATAATTTAGAACAGGGTGTATATTGCCAAAAGTATTAAGATGCCTGCCTTTACATGCACATGAACTTTAACAGCATCCCAGTCTTAGTCCGTAGGGTATAATATTGAATTGGGCCACCCTTTGCAGCTATAACAGCTTCAACTCTTCTGGGAAGGCTGTCCACAGGGTTTAGGAGTGTGTCTATGGGAATGTTTGACCATTCTTCCAGAAACTCATTTGTGGGATCAGACACTGATATTGGATGAGGCCTGACTTATCTCTGCTCTAATTCAACCCAAAGGGGTTCTAGGTGTTGAGGTCCGGACTCTGTGCAGGCCAATCAAGTTCCTCCACCCCAAACTCGCTCATCCATGTCTTTGTGAACTTTGCTTTGTGCACTGGTGCGCAGTCATGTTGGAACAGGAAGGGGCTATCCCCAAACTGTTCCCACAAAGTTGGGAGCATGAAATGGATCGAAATGTCTTGGTATGCTGATGACTTAAGAGTTCCCTTCACTGGAACTAAGAGGCCAAGCCCAACCCCGTGAAAAACAACCCAACACTATAATCCCCCATCCACCAAATTTTACACTTGGCACAATGCAGTCTTGCAAGTACCATCCTCCTGGCACCAAACCCAGGCACGTCCATCTGATTGCCATACAGAGAAGCTTGATTCGTCACTCCAGAGAACACATCTTCACTGATCTATAGTCCAGTGGTGGTGTGATTTACATCCGATGCTTTGCATTGCACTTGGTGATGTAAGGCTTGGATGCAGCTGCTTGGTCATGGAAACCCATTCCATGAAGCTCACCATGCACGTTTGTTGTGCTAATCTGAAGGCCACACAAAGTTTGGAGGTCTTTAGCTATTGACTCTGCAGACAGTTGGCGACTTCTGCACACTGTGTGCTTCAGCATGCACTGTCCCCGCTCTGTCATTTTACGTGGCCTACCATTTCGTGACTGAGTTTCTGTTGTTCCCAGTTGCTTCCACTTTGTTATAATACCACTAGCAGTTGAATATTTAGTAGCAAGGAAATTTCATGGATGAACGTATTACACAGGTGACAAACAATCACGGTACCATGCTTGAATTCACTGAGCCCATTCCTTTACAAATACTTGTAGAAGCAGTCTGCATGCCTAGATGCTTGAGTTTATACACCTGTAACCATGGAGGTGCTTGGAACACCTGAATCCAGTGATTCGCAGGGATGTCCCAATACTTTTGGCAGTATAGTGTGTGTGTGTGTATATGTATACATATATATATATTGTATTCAGAAAGAAAAAGGTAAAGGAGAATGCTGCAGCTTGGATTTACAAGCCTGGGTGCTGAGCTCATCCTTATAAGACACCATGCTACTCTAAGCATACCAGAATAACATTGCTCTGTTGTACAAGCCCCAGTCAGGGAGGAGCGATTCTGCTTAGGATCAGTTCACAAACAGTTTTCTGTCTGTAACAAGCTCCCCTCTGTCCATGACCTTTTTATCTCCAACTCTGTTAAATACTTGCTATTATAGAAATCTGGCTTTGGAGATTTGACTCTCCAGCTACCCTCTCCCATGCTGGCCTCCACGTTCCCAGTGGATAAAAGAGAGGTGGCATTGGAAACTTTCTATCTCTGCAAAGCGCTTTCTAAGTTCTTGTTTTGTCTTTCTGTCTATCCTGCTCCTCTTTTGGATCTCACTGTATTCATCCTGGTTCTCCAGTTTCCTTGAGGACCGATATGATTTTTCTGCCTCCTGGACCCTGGATTTCTCTACCTGGCTGCCCTACTTCTTATCCTCTGTCATACTTGATGACTTTAACATCCCTGTTAATGCTAACACCCCAGATACCTCTCAACCTTTCAACCTAACTTCATCTTTTGGTCTTACCAACAATTCACATTACAGAGGACGGCTAGATGCACTGACTGCCCTCTACTATTTAGAACATATCAGGATAGCTGGCAGTGAGTTCCTCTAAATCAGTGGTTCTCAACCTTTCTAGCGCCGCGACCCCTTAATACAGTTCCTCATGTTGTGGTGACCCCCAACCATAAAATTATTTTCGTTGCTACTTCATAACTGTAATTTTGCAGTAGGAGGAATAGTGCCACGTCATTGGTGTCATTAGGAGGAATAGTGCCCCATCATTGGTATCAGTGGGAGGAATAGTGCCCCGTCATTGGTGTCAGTGGGAGGAATAGTGCCCCCTTCATTGGTGTCAGTGGGAGGAATAGTGCCCCGTCATTGGTGTCAGTGGGAGGAATAGTGCCCCGTCATTGGTGTCAGTGGGAGGAATAGTGCCCCGTCATTGGTGTCAGTGGGAGGAATAGTGCCCCGTCATTGGTATCAGTGGTAGGAATAGTGCCCCGTCATTGGTGTCAGTGGGAGGAATAGTGCCTCGTCATTAGTGTCAGTGGGAGGAATAGTGCCCCGTCATTGGTATCAGTGGGAGGAATAGTGCCCCATCATTGGTGTCAGTGTGAGGAATAGTGTCCCATCATTGGTGTCAGTGGGAGGAATAGTGCCCCATCATTGGTATCAGTGGGAGGAATAGTGCCTCATCATTGGTATCAGTGGGAGGAATAGTGCCCCATCATTGGTGTCAGTGGGAGGAATAGTGCCCCATCATTGGTGTCAGTGGGGGGGAATAGTGCCCCATCATTGGTATCAGTGGGAGGAATAGTGTCCCATCATTGGTATCAGTGGGAGGAATAGTGCCCGATCATTGGTGTCAGTGGGAGGAATAGTGCCCCATCATTGGTATCAGTGGGGGAGAATAGTGTCCCATCATTGGTGTCAGTGGGAGGAATAGTGCCTCGTCATTGGTATCAGTGTGAGGAATAGTGCCCCGTCATCGGTATCAGTGGGAGGAATAGTGCTCCATCATCGGTGTCAGTGGGAGGAATAGTGCCCCATCATCGGTGTCAGTGGGAGGAATAGTGCCCCATCATCGGTGTCAGTGGGAGGAATAGTGCCTCATCATCGGTATCAGTGGGAGGAATAGTGTCCCATCATCGGTATCAGTGGGAGGAATAGTGCCCCATCATAGGTGTCAGTGGGAGGAGGAATAGTGCCCCATCATAGGTGTCAGTGGGAGGAGGAATAGTGCCCCATCATTGGTGTCAGTGGGGGGAGGAATAGTGCCCCATCATTGGTGTCAGTGGGGGGAATAGTGCCCCATCATAGGTGTCAGTGGGAGGAATAGTGCCTCATCATTGGTATCAGTGGGAGGAATAGTGTCCCATCATCGGTATCAGTGGGAGGAATAGTGCCCCATCATTGGTGTCAGTGGGGGGAATAGTGCCCCATCATAGGTGTCAGTGGGAGGAATAGTGCCTCATCATCGGTATCAGTGGGAGGAATAGTGTCCCATCATCGGTATCAGTGGGAGGAATAGTGCCCCATCATAGGTGTCAGTGGGAGGAGGAATAGTGCCCCATCATAGGTGTCAGTGGGAGGAGGAATAGTGCCCCATCATTGGTGTCAGTGGGGGGAGGAATAGTGCCCCATCATAGGTGTCAGTGGGGGGAATAGTGCCCCATCATTGGTGTCAGTGGGGGGATTAGTGCCCCATCATAGGTGTCAGTGGGGGGAGGAATAGTGCCCCATCCTTGGTGTCAGTGGGGGGAGGAATAGTGCCCCATCCTTGGTGTCAGTGGGGGGAGGAATAGTGCCCCATCCTTGGTGTCAGTGGGGGGAGGAATAGTGCCCCATCCTTGGTGTCAGTGGGGGGAGGAATAGTGCCCCATCCTTGGTGTCAGTGGGGGGAGGAATTGTGCCCCATCGTTGGTGTCAGTGGGGGGAAGAATCGTGCCCCATCCTTGGTGTCAGTGGGGGAGGAATAGTGCCCCATCGTTGGTGTCATTTATGGGAGGAATAGTGCCCCATCGTTGGTGTCAGTGGGAGGAATAGTGCCCCATCATTGGTGTCAGTGGGAGGAATAGTGTCCCATCGTTGGTGTCAGTGGGAGGAATAGTGCCCCATCATTGGTATTAGTGACACCAATGATGGGGCACTATTCCCACTGACACCAATGATACTTACCTTGCAGACCCCTGCTCCAGCCTGGGCTCGCTCGCTCCCTCCCTCTCCCATGGTACCGACACTTACCTGTCAGATGTCTTCCTTCTCCGGCCTCTCTCCTCCTCTTCACTCACTCGATCTTCGCGGTGCCGCTCGGCTCCTCCTCTCCAAGCTCCACCTCCTTGCCGGTGATTGGCCGCCTGTGTGCCTCTCCTGAGCTACAGTGCCGGTGGCCAATCACAGGCGAGGATTGATCTCGAGGTGTGTCCAGATGACAGGGGCGGCATGTCCTCCCGCCCACACCTGGAGACGGCGGTGGCGGCGGCGGCGAGGAGCAGTGTCTCGGTTCCTAAGACCATCGGAAATATGTGTTTTCCGATGGTCTTAGGCGACCCCTGTGGAAGCGTCGTTCGACCCCCAAAGGGGTCGCAACCCCCAGGTTGAGAACCGCTGCTCTAAATGTATATTCTTGAAAATACATACTGGCAGAAAACTGTGACTATTAATGGATACTATGAGTAATACATATTTTTCATTTACTGTACCATAATCAGATGCACATTTGCCTTATATTTATGAAAGCGGTATTTAAACCCAAAATCAAACATTTATTAAATTGCAGCTTACCAATTCTTAGATGTGATGGCTGAATTAGTTTTCATTTTTAGACTTTCTTTCCTTTATTTTCACCTGGCGATCTGGCCAGTAAGTCTGTTGTTTTTCAGAAGAACAATTCCCTGTGATAACAATAAAAATGATTAAAAAAAAATATTAAAGGAACAGTGTAAAAAAAAGATGAAAAAAAGCAAAATAAATAATAAAAAAAAAATCACCCCCATCCTTGTGCTCGCATGCAAAGGCAAGCGGCGGTCCTGTGGCAGTATGTAAACAAAGATTGCACCATGCATGTGAGGTATCACCACGAACAGCAGATCGAGGGCAGGAATTCTAGCACTAGACCTCCTGTATAAATATACAGTAGTGACCTGTAAAGACTTGTAAAGCATCGCCGATTGATATTAAAAATTAAGTAATTTGTCACCATTGCACGGGTATGTGCAATTTTAAAGCATGTCATGTTTCGTATCCATTTACTCAGTGTAACATCATATTATATATTTTATCAAAGAATTGGGCAATGCATTGAGTTTTTGTGCACTACAATTAAAAAAAGTGTATTTTTAAAAACAAAATTGCATTTGCAAAATCGCTGCAAAAATACTGTGTGACATGGAAAAATTCATCTCCCACCATTTTTTTCTCTAGGGCCTCTGCTTTAGAAAAATATATAATGGTCAGGTGTTCAAAGTAATTTTCTAGCAAAAAAACAGTTTTTTCAAGTACACAAAAAGTGTTAGAAAAGGATTGGTCCTCAAGCTGTTAGAAAAGTAGGTGATGTATAGCATAATCTAATGTAGGCCTTGAAATGCCAGGATAGTAGAAGCACCCCCCCCCCCCCAATGACCCCTTTTGGGAAAGTAGACACGTAGACACTCCAAGGTATTTGCTAAGAGGCATTGTGAGTATTTTGCAGATCTCATTTGTTGCCACGTTTTTGGAAAACAAAGAAAGAAAACAAAAATGTAGTTTTCCTTTTCTTTTATTCTTTTTCAAAAACCTGTGATGAAAATGATATCTGCGAAATACTCACCATGCCTCTTATCAAATTCCTTGGGGTGTCTACTTTCCAAAAATGGGTCATTTGGGGGGATGTTTGTAATATCCTGGCATTTTAGGGCCTCCTAAACTGTGATAGGTAGCGAGGAAGTGATATAAGGAAATATATGCCCTTTGAAAGCCTGGAGATAGTCATTGGATTTTGGGAGCCTCTATGTAGCTAGGCTGCCAAATAGTCTTTCACATGCGGTATCCTCATACTCATGAGAAGTAGCAGAATGTGTTTTGGGGTATTACTCCACATTTACCTATGGCATGCATGAGCAATATATCATTTAAGCGTCAACTTTGTATATATATAAAAAAAAAAAGAATTTTTGTAATTTTCTAAAAATTTGTGGCAAAAAATAAAATGTTCCATGGACTCAACATGCCTCTCAGCAATTTCCTTGGGGTGTTGTGTACTTTCCAAAAAGGGGTAGTTTGGGTTTTCTTGTACTGCCCT